GTCCTAAATGAACTCAGATGGCCAAATGAACTAGTCACATCATCTTGTTTCCAAAATGGAATTATGGGCTTAAATCAGAGTTTGGATGCTCTCTCTACATTATTTCTTTTTTCCATTTCGATCCAATCTTATTCAATCGATACAATAATCTATTTTACGTCACTAAGTTGGTACTCTCTTCAACCTGAATCCTATTTACTCGAGCCCATTACCTTTCTTCCACACCCAACACCTTGTCATTAATAGAATTGAGCATCGTAGACTCGTAGTACCTGCAATCATCTCTCCCACCATTGAAGAAGAGGTCACATGCATGTAACATTTTTTTTAAGTGTGCAAGTAATATACATATGGATGAGAATAGAGCCAAGATTTGTTAATATTGTGGCTCGTCTAATTTTTTGAGGTCAATAATTATAATTCGCACGTTCTCAAAATTATATAGAGATTAGTCCCAAATTTGTGGAGGAGGGGTTTCAATAGTACAGCAATAATTCCAAGCTACACAATACGACATTCAAGAATTTACAAAAACGAATTCACGTGATAGAATGACCACATTGAGCATGGTGTGGACCGATTGCAACCCAAGAATGGAGCAAATTTATCACCTTTCGAACTGATTGACAAAAGTGGACCTTGTTTTATAAATCGCAGAAATTTTTTGTTTTTCATGTAATTAATTTTGATTCTTTGCATCCCAAAACAGAATTTTTGGTCCGTTGAGAAGAAAAATGTACAAAAGAATTAGTTAGCCATATATACTTATATGACCTAAAATGGATTTTCACGTGTTGTCTACATAAAAAGCAACATTCAATTAGCTTTTCAAATGGTTATCGATTATCTATAAAAATTTATTTTCTTCGATGCAGATCTTTCGATAGCTGTCAAGATAATCAAAGTCAATTAATTTATTCATAACTTCATTTTATATGTGGGTCATGAAATCTTGTTTCAACATATCGCATATAATACCGACATAATACAGAACAAAGTGCTTACCAATCATCATTGATGTGACATTAACTTATTTGATATCACTGTTTTAGAGGTAAGCAGTTATTATAAATAGCATTATTCATATCGAATACAGAAGAACCTTTGGAAATATTGCAGTGTAAAATGTGGGAAAGCAAATAGTACCATAGAACATATTGCAGTGCAGTATTTCGTTGTACGCATAGTTGAAAATCAAGTCCAAGAACCTGGAGTGAATTTTAGTTTAGTCATAATTTTTTTTTTTAAATAATGATGTGAAGGATGAAAGCTCACATGACTTTATTTGGTACACTTGAACAGCTGCCATAGACAAAACATCCATGTACAGAGTTGTACCATCTTAAAAGAGAATCGTTGTAATTTCAAGTCTAGTAATTAGAAACATGAATTTTATAGTTTCAGACTTTCAGTGACCTACAACCTTATCACGTGTCTTGTCTAAGTGATGCTAATTCCATATAGACCCTCGAATCTCAAATTAATAAATAGAGGAAATGAAGCCCCGGGCATAATTTAGTGGTGCAAAGGATAGAAGTGAAGTTATCTCAAATCTTGTTGGCAGTCATAGTGTGGGGGTTCGATTCT